AAGGGAAGAGATCTTAAGGGTGTGAGGCTTAGGAGAGAAAAGGGAAGAAATCTTAAGGGTGTGAGGCTTAGAAGAGGAAAGGGAGAAGATATCTTAAGCTACCACAAAGGAGGAGAGAATAGCTATAGAGTTAGAGAGGAGGAGAGCATCTTGAGGCCTTGTATCAAGGTGTCGCTTGAGAGGGAGGCCATAGAAGGAAGATGAGGGCTCATCTCTATGTATAAGCTATGTATTCTCCATTTCTTTTGCCTTAGTGAAATATTTGATTGATTCCCTCCCGTGGACGTAGATCCAGTTGGATCGAACCACGTAAATGATCTGTGTTTGCTTGTGTTCTTTTTCGTCTCATTTCTATGCCAGGAAGTACATATCTCACAACAAAAAGAATATATTGACTAATTAATTTTGCATTTTTGTAGGCTTTGAGACTGAAATAATGTCATACAATTAGAAACAGAGCGCCCGAAATCCCGCTATTTACAAATCAAGCACCCTCTTCCATTCATTATTCAAATTCTCTCTCAAATATCAAGATTCATTATAACCAACCCATATCTTTCATTTTTATCAAATTGTCAATGATATGATCATTGCACACTTAAATGCCTCTATTTAGTAGTTCAAAAAATCACATTGAAATTTCATTTGTAAATATTAATGTTTCGGGTGCTATGTATGTGACTATCCCTATAATTAATTTGGGGGCATTTTGCACTTCACCCTTTTTCTTTTTCTTTTTTTTGAAAAAATGTAAGTCACGCTCAGCCTTATTTGTGAAAAAAAAAAGGAAAAGCGTTTTTAACTCAAAGGCACAAGAGCAACTCAATAAGGGACAAAAACAAGAACAACAAATACAAACAAATAAATAACAAAACAAAAGAGTGCTCCAAAGCCCAACAGATTTTCAGAGAAACCAAATAGAGCCAAGAAAGAAGAAACCAATTATCTAAAGAGAAACAAACATAACCAAGAAGGAAGAAACAAATCATCTATATCAACAAACAACAACTTCAAAGAATCCAAAGCAATATCCCGAAGCATTAGAAAAACCACTCGGAAACAACAACACTATCAACTAATCATCAAAGTGTTAGTGTTGGCGTGGAGTCCGGTCCACCCAACCCGCGAACTTCCGCTCCCGCCTCTCCTTCTGTTTTCGCGAAACGACGCTTCTGATCACGAAACCACTCCCTCCTTTCTTTTTTGCGAAGAGAAGCATCCCTTCGTCAGAAACCGTTCCCGCCTCCTCTATTTCGCAAAGAGAAGCATCCCTTCACTCCCTTCTCTTCGTGATAAAAAGAGAGGCTCTCCTTCATATTTGGAAGATAAAAGGAAGTCACGATTTTCTTCTTTAGGTTTCCTCGGGATAGAGGAAGAGTTCTTCGGGTTTCCACGGGACAGTGAAAGAGAAGAAGTGCAAGGAGTAGTTTCTTGCTAGTTTCTTGCGGCAAGTAGTTTCTTGCGGCAAAAGAAAGAAGAAGGAAGAAGAAGAAGATTGTTCTCCTACAGAGATGTTGAACTTGAGAAAAGCCAAAAAAAGAGAACCACACTTGGTTGGCAAAGCATCTATCAATGTGTTCAAAAACCTTACCTCTATTCAAGTATATTTGGAGCCTAGAAACCCCATATGTGACAAGCCTGCATCCACCATAGCCTTGCCAAACTTATCAATTAAGGATGAGTCGGCCCTTCGGCCACCCAATTTCTCATTATGATGGAGAATCATCGGGGACGTGGGCAATTTGCCGAACCACGTAAATCTGTGTGTTCTTTTCTGGTGTAATTTTTTGTTGTTCTATTTTTCGCTGGTATATGTATTTCATAACACAAAGATGATAAAAGAAAGCTCTCTCCTAAATATGCAAGAGCATATCGACCCCAAAAAAATTACCCAAACACAAAACCACAAAGAAGAACAAAAAGAAAGAAAAATAACTAGCCCAAAAGAAAACCAAAATCAAAGGAAAACTAAAACCACAAAAAGCAACAATAAAGAACAGGAAAGTAAGACTTTTTCGAGAGGGGGAGAAAATGTCCAACTACGATCTCCACATAAAAACACATGTTTTATTCACTTATCATCTTGCTCACATCCTCCGGAATGCGTCGCTTTTGGAATTAAAAGTGTGGATAACCATCATAAGAGAATCGGAAAAGGAAATGGTCATAAAATATTCCTTTTAAGTTTAACACCATACATCAAAAATCTAATCAGATAAATTTCTTTGGCGTTCTTCAAACCCCATACACTAAGTTTGGCTGCACTGCTACTACAAGAAAAGTCGAATTCCTCTACCTTTTCGGGAGTGTATCAAGCGTACACGAATAACTTCCGAATAAAATAAAATAAGATGTAAATCTCATCTCAACTGGAGTCCCAAAATCAGCTAATTTCTTTATCAATTATTTAAAATAATAGTAAAAAATGAAAATTTAGATATTAGACATGTAACTACATAGAAATTAGATGGTATGCATATAAATCTTTCATGAAATTTATGTCTGAACAACCATTGACTTCGCTGCGAGCGAGTGCCGTTGTGGGTTTAGTTGTGATGTGATTTTAGGAAGTTGATGTGAGGCCCACACCACACAAGGCATGTGAAGTGTGTGCAAGGTGTTGAGAGCAATTTGAGTTAAAAATGCGAGTGAATAATAATATACTTTTAGGCATTGCCTTAAGAAAATAATTTAATATTGTTTTAACCCTTAATGCTCTGTAGCTGATGCAATTTTCAGATTTGTAGCCTACGCAAAATTTCGTTATTTGTAATGGATATTGATGATGAATTTTGATTGGAAAATTTAACATTATATATGGTTTTGAAAAGTTGTAATTAGGGCGGTCAAAACAGTTTGTTGTTAGCGAACAGCTTGTGTTCAGTTCGTTAAGAAGCTCATGTTCGGCTCGTTCGCTAAGTTAACGAGTTAAACACGAACAACAAGAACAAATATCTTGTTCGTTTGTGTTCGCTCGTTTTGGCTCGATATACTACTCATCAATTATATATATATATATATATCTTTGATGAGTAGTATTTTAAAAAAATTAAAACTTATTAAATTAGATTCAATTGATGTTTTAAATCTTGCACCAATCTTTAACATCTTATGACTACGTGATTAGTGTTGTCAAAACGACTATTTGTTCTTGAAAGGCTCGTGTTCGGCTCGCTTAGCAAACAAGCCGAATAGGAACACACTTTTTGAGCTTGAATATAAACGAGCCAAATAGGAGCTGAGCCTGGGCTCGCTTGTGTTCGGCTAGTTTACACCGCTAGTTGTAATTGACCAAATATCTTTGATTTATTTTTTTGTAGAACTATTTTTGAATATTTTCCTTGCATTTGTAGACTAAGATTTTTATTTCATACATAGCCATCAAATCACCAATAATAAGATAGAAATAAAGTTAAATATCATCATCACCATATTTTCTTATATACATTAAAATTATTTGCATTCAAAATATTTATACATAATAATCATAATTTTTAATAATTCTAAAAGATGACGTAAATAAGAATTAGGTGGTATGCATGTAAATGCCCTTTTTAAATATCAAGGCAAGAAACTCGTGTTGTACAAGCCGACTATCCATGTGAAGATATCTGTGGCGTCGCAAATCTGTCCTCTCCAAAATAAAATTTTAATAATTATTGAAAAAAAACACGAGATCGCCACGTGTACAAAGTCACTATGGGAAATGTATAATCTTACGCATGCTGACATATCCCGTGAGCGCTTAAATTAAAAATATAGTTATATTATGCCACCAAGACTCCGGTCTCGTAATCTACACTACTCTTCACACATTCTATAAAAAGGCCTACGACACCACCTTCCCACAGCATTCTCTCACACGCAAAACAGCGAACACCTTGTGCGCATAAGAAAAAAACAACCAGCATGTCACTCGCACACGACGCAGCGGCATCCATGAAAGTTTTCGAGTGCAAGACCTGCAACCGTCAATTCTCGACTTTCCAAGCACTGGGAGGGCACTGCGCGAGTCACCGGAAGACGAGAACGGCGGGGGGGGGCGGCGGAGGTGAAGGGAAGACGGCGAAAGCCAGAGCTCACGAGTGCCCGATTTGCGGCCTCGAATTCGCGGTCGGACAGGCGCTCGGCGGCCACATGAGACGGCATAGATCGATGACGATGAAGACGGAGGACAAGGGGGCGATGTGGTTGGATTTGAATTCGATGCCGGCGGAGAATGATTTCGAGGTATTTGTGTAATTTGTCTTTTTAATTTGGTAAAATAAAAATTTCATGATTTTATAAATATTGGTTATGAATTATTTTATTTTATAAATAAGTTAACTAATTCCGTCTTTTTTGGCCAATTTTTTGGTGCTCTGACAATAATGGTTGGATTTTCGCTGAAATAAGATGTACGGATTTGAAATTATTGTCAGAGTTTCAATAAATTGTAACGGAAAGGTAAAATTAGTTTTCGTTATTTGTAAAATAAGATGAATTTGTTGCTTTTATTTGTAAATTTTGTCAATTATTATTTTTTCTCAAATAGCACCAAATTATGAAGATTTTTATACAAATAACCTTTTTATTGCTTCTTTTTATTATTATTATATAGGAAAATATTGGTTTTTCAATTACGATTAAAAAATATATTTGCTTTTTTTCACTTTTTTTCACTTTTTTTTAATTGTTTGAGGAATATTTTTATTTTTTTTTTATTTTGTGTAAGGTAAATAAAAACCTGTATCACAATATTTTCTATTTTTATAGGATTGTTGTGTTCAATGTGACATGATATATTCGTTACTATTATTTATTATGTTAAGTTGTAAATTTAATGTTAAATATAGTCTTTTTTGAAAGCATATTTATTAGCAAAAAATTAGTTGAATTAGCTCAAATGAGAGGATTGAATTCAATTTCTAGGCTCGAAAAGAGGGTCGTGAACTGAGCACGATGAGCTAACAAGACAAACTCAAGGTAGTCCCGACTCGACTCGTTAGCTGGTGAGCTGACTCATTTAATAAAATATTAATATAAAATATACTCAAAATATATTAAATTTGACAATTTTATAAGAAAGTGTTTAAAATATTTTAAAACAATATTTTATACTTTATATTAAGTAATTTTTTTATTATTTCTCTCGTAATTGTTCATTCTATCAATCATTTTATTATAACACTACCTTCAATTAATATTATTTTCTCTCTTTTATAATGAATAAGTCAGATCGTGGGCCGGCTCGAAAACGTAGACTTAAGCTCGATTTCGACCAACAACTCGATATAATTAATTAAGCTCAAGCTCAAGTCATGTGTGGCTCGAACTCGACTCGACTGCTTCACAACCCTAAAGGTCGCAACGACAGTCAATCGGTGGCGGCCAATGGCAAGAGGAGATTACTCTAAAACAACTATAAGACTTAATACTAATTTTCTTAATACTTTTTTAATCAAAATCACTGTCATCACCAATGTACTATACTTTAAAGCACGTCTTATATGATTCTTGCTGCTGAATTTTTAATATATATTGAATTAACTCACTCGCGTCCTTTAAATAATGGCGAATTGCTAGTAGTCAATGTCTAATATAATTTTATTTTTCCTTTTAGAAGTTAAATTATCTATAGACATAAATAGCCCAATTCCTTACCAAATAATGAATAATTTGAATATAATCATGCACTCTCTAGTTTCCATATGAAAATACATAAAAATAAGGAAGCATAATAGAATAATAATTTTATTGAGCTGCTGGGATGTAGATCTTCTTACTTTTATAAATAGCTAATGAAAGAGACCTTAAACTACATAATTACGTAATTGCACTTCTATCTGTTGCTTGTAGATTGAAACTATATCAATCCAACTGCACTAATTAATATAACAAATCCAAGTGGAGATGGTTTTTCCTATATTATGAAAACAAATCATTATTAGAGGTTTTGGGTGCTTGTTGATGGATTTATCTTTATTTATTGTATGCACTTTAAGAATAATATTTGAGAGTTTTAATATGATTTTCAGAGCTAAAAGTGATTATTAATTTATATTTTGAACTACTTAGTTTTGTTGGTAAAGATCACATATTACCCCTATGATTGAGTGTTGTGCTCAATTTAAGTGGGTCACTTCCTCGAAATCATATGATTGTGAATTATTTGTCAACATTTTAAAATAGTTTTAAAATTTAATATCAGTAACCTAAGATTAAATCTTAATTGATACTATCGTGTGTGTGTGCACAGGTGCTTTGCTAGCTCGCTACTGCCCACCAATGGGGACTCGACTAGCTAGCTTTAGACGTTAATATGTTTATTCTACCATCTTTTTTAACATTATGGAGTCGATGTTGTTGTTAGTTTTGTAGCCCAATTAATCCTCCACAATCAATTTTGAGTAATTTAAATAGTAAAATCATTCAATAATTTTCATTCAGAGTGAAGTTAACCTCGAGATTGTCTCAAACTATGATTAAGAAGGCTTTAATTGATTTATAGCCCCAAAGAGTTGTTCACATTGATTTTCATGAAATAGTCTCAGCTTATAATATTCCAAAAATTATAATTTTGAGCTATGATTTTTTTTAGGCTCAATATGTATTCTTAAATTTAAACATAAAAAATTTTAGAGGCAATAAATATGCCACTCAGTGATTCGGGCACAATTCTCAAAGTATATAGATAACTTGAGAATCAAATTCATGATATTTTAAGCTCTAATTTCAACATGTTCCTAGTCAAATGAAATATTTCACTAAAATATGACCTAAACTATACCAAAAATGATTTTATATGAATCCAAATAAGCCCAAATTAAACATGTGAAGGATAACTGAAAGATTCAAAGCACTTATTGAAAGGTCAAACGATATCTAATTTTGCATGCTTACATCTAAATCTAAGTGCTTTGATGAGAGAAATTCAATTAGCCTAAAGACTGCTCAATTCTAATGCCATTAATACATTTAATGTTAAGAGAATGGTCTATAATCGAAGAAAACAACATGGATCGTCTAATGTAATATTTAAGATTTTAACTTAATTTAAGAAAATGTGACCTCTTCAAGATTCCACGTTATAAACAGACTCATACTTGTACGTGAAGAGAGTAGAGTGAGTTGAAAATAAAATTTAAACTCAAAAATAAAAAAGAAAAAAAGAAAAAAAAAATGTAAAAACAACGAAACCAACCACGAGTAGCAAATTAATAACCATTGCAAATACCAATTGTAGCCCAACTCCTTTTAAACGACTATTATCACCATATTATAATCTTCAAATTATTGTTTCCTAATCATTAGTATTGACATTATTGTCCAACAACTCTTATTATACTAATATAAGGAAATGCAGGCGATCATAATATAACTCTATAACCTCAGTTATATCTTGAACTACATTATTGGGTTGGACCCAATGGCTTTTCTATATGCTTATTTTTAATATAAAAAAATCAATTGTCTCTGATCACTTATGTACATATGTATCGAATTCTGCTCTTCATGCCTTTTTTTTTTTTCCTATTTTTTCACCTATAAGAATTTTTCAGCAAGCAACAATTATGGTACTCATTTTCTTAATAAAAATAATTATTTTTAATACACACAATTAATTAAATTGAACTATTAAATTTTATCACATTCCAAATGATACAAGCTTTCTGACTTCAGGAAATTATTGTATACTCAAGAATTGAACTCATAACCAACCCTGCTGACGCAAAGATCCACAGCATCATAACTATTCCTATGTTTTTTATACATTTTAAAAAAAGTTTAATTTGAGCTGTGTCTAAAACATTTCATGTGCAGTGAGTGTTAACCCACTTCAATGGAGAGGAGCAAACTAACTAAAATTGCACTTTAAGACAGGCAGGTGTAAAGGAATAATAGGATTAAGAATACAAATCTTACTTGCTAATCAAATATAACAATCAGATTTTGTAAAAGGTAAGATCCTACCTGAACTAACAGCTCCCATCCTCCCCCTTCTAAGAGCCACAGCAGGATGATCTCTCTGAAGCTTTACTATCACCAGCAGCTTCTTCTGGTTTCTTAATGTTGATTGTCCGTTTCTGCCAGCAGACAAAAGGATGAATTTCCATGAAAGAACGGAAGAACTTTGCTAACCATGTAATGAAAAAGGAAACACACCACGGTTTTGTTATCAGATTCTGCAAGCCTCTGTTTTATGTCTCCGGCAATTGAAAAGAAAACCTGCTCTACATTTAGGTTAGTTTTTGCTCTCTGCCAAGCGAGATGAATACATTATCAAAACTCTCTAAAACTTTCGGATACTTTATTGCAAGCCCAAACTTTTTGTTAGTGTTCGATTTGGTCTTAAACCGATTTGGCCATATCAACAACTTGTCAATTCTAGGAGGACATAAATAGATAGAGGGCGGCTTTCATTAGAAATTTTGAACATTAGATGGTAAATCTGCCTTTAGAAAGCCATTAAAAAAAAAACCATGTAGAACCAGCCCAATTGTAGTGATGAAACTTGTGTTGAAGGAGACATCTGAGAAACCGTAAGAGGAGGCAACTCTTGCCAACAGCTACAAAAGACAAAATCTGGTGTCATCCTGCTATTGGGCAGAGAGCATATATCACCAGAGCAATCTGTATGAAATCATTTTCTGATTGCTTGCGATCTAATTCAGCCTTAGCATCCATCATATAGTTTTCAAATGGGAAGTATAAGTATCACAAAAACAATTGGCGTTGGAAAAGAAAGCAACTACTAAACCTTGAATTTATATATATATATATA